TCTTAGCTATCACTGTTAATATCTTAGTTTCCTAATTTATAAATCATACTTTATCTTCGGTATGTATTCATAGAGGAAAACACAGTATTATGGGGTTCAGTAGTAGCCGTGGGTTTAAGCATCTACCAGGGGTCTTGGAGCACATTCCAAGTGTCCCAGTGGATAAGTGAGGACTGCTGTGATACACATAGCTAACACTCTTCAGGGACTTGCTGTCTGCCGGGCAATATCACAGGACATAGAGCAGGGAGCCTAGACTAGACAGGAAGGCTGGAAAGGCTCTGAGTCCTTTCCCTTAGCTCCACTGATTGGCCCCATGGGCTCTAATATTCTTCCAAATGCGCACTTTGAAAACCAGGGTCTCGGCCTCTTCTTTCCATCTCTCTCCCTCTGATCAGTCACCAAGGCTTGTCTTGGCTTCCATGGAAACACGTCCTGCATCTGCCCTCCCCTCACACCTCCTGGGCTCCTCTCTAGTCCAGCCACCTATAACTCACACCTGGAATACTCCAACAGCCCTGATCCCCCTGCCTCCAGCCACCTTCCATCCTCTCTGGTCTGTACACCACCCCCAGAACTTTCTAGAAAGACTGATCTTCTGTTCAACATCTTAGTCATTTATTCAACAGACTCTTGCCAATAGTTTTGCCTTCCCCCCAAAGTCAGGTTGCATGTTTCAAAAGAGAAAGTGATGTCAATCATGTCCCTTGACTAAAGATAAAGTCCAGGCTCCTTAGCCTGGCATTCAAGGTCCTTCTCCCAAAGGCCAGCTGTCCAGATTCATCTCCACAATGACCTGTTAATTTACTGCATTCCCACATACACTGCTGCCTTCCTGGGTCCTCTGTCCTTTGGCTTATACCCCACTTTCTGGAACACTTCTGCCTTTCTCCATTTTCTATCATTTTATCAAAATGCTACCCATTGCCAAGATCCCAATCTGATGTCACCTCTTCCATGAGTGAAGCCAGTGGACGTGCTGAAGTAGGCACTCCCATCACTGTGTATGCTGCTCACACATACATGCTTGTGCATCATCACACACTGTCACATGCAAAACACACACCCTGTAAGACCCCCTACCTGTCTGTGTGTATATCTGCCATTGAAGAGACTTAGCTGTACTCCAGGGGACAGTGCTATGCAACTCAGCCAGATTATCTTGTGTGATCATCACAATCATCTTATGAAGGAGGCACCATCATGAAGCTCCATACAACAGATGAGATTAAAGAAGTTAGGTGAGTCATATGCATAAGGTCACACAGCTAGGAAGTGGCCAAGTAAAGAATTCAAATACAGTTTTGGCCAGATTCCATGCATGTAACTTTACACTACCATTCCTAAGGCAAGCATTCTTTTTTAAACAAGTACGCACCCCAGTTGCTCCACATTGCTCTTTGCATGCAGGGTGCATTTACAGTTATATTCCCAGTACCCCACCCAGAGTCCAAAATATCCCCTAGATGTGCAGCAAATACTTCTGAATGAATGAATGGAATTATTATTGGGTACTATGCCAAAGCTTCTAAAACAGAATTGCTGAAATTAGGGCCTAAAAGTCTCTAAGTTAATAATCGTCCAAGGTGATTCATTTACAGCCAGCTGGAACCTGTCCATAGACTGATGTTATAAAACTAATGTAACGCCACCATTCTATGAAGGGATAAACTGAGGCCCACAGTAGTCAAGAGACTCATCCAAGGTTACCAGCACCTACCTCTCATCCCCAAGTCATCTTGCTGGCTGGGGTTTTTTAGCTTACTCCTGATTTTTAGCCTAGCTGTAAGATAAGATACAGTACTAACATTGGGCAGAAAACAAGCCCATATCTCCATCTGCACTGGCTAAGGGGATCTTAAATTGGTTTTCCTGAATCTTCTCTCCGAGGAGGTCTTTACTGATGGCCTCATCTCAGATAAGCTGAGCAGGGGACAGCCTCTGGGCAGCTGACCTAGAAACTCAAAACCACAGAAAACCATGTCTTTGACCTGAAAGTGCTTTGTTATTGGGTTTTGCTTAATGCAAATCCATCATCTTTGGGATCTCCTTCTTGCCTCTTCAGAAAGGAGCCACGTTGCCCAGCAACCAGCATGTCAGTGATGTGCCAAAGCTGTTGATCAATAAAACTGTAGCTGCCAACCTCTCCCTAAAGCTGTGCTTGCCTGCCTGGTTCTAAGAACCACTGCCTACTGATTTCTTAGTAGCTGGGTAATATATTAGAAAGAAAGTAAGATTTGAAGTTAGACATACCAGGGGTTGATATACCAGTTAAAGCATATACTGGCTAAGTGACCTTGAAAGTTATTTGCCCTCTCTGAACCTCAGTTTCCTCATCCCTATGATGAAAAGAGTCTTATGGAAAAATCTCTGGTTGACTTCCATTTCTGACATCTATGTTCTGTGTCCTGTGCCCTGGGGTGTGAGCAGCTCCTTGTAACCTAAGTTCAGCCCCATAAAGAAGACCTGAGTTCTATTTCATGTTGGCCAGTCCAAATTATCAATCCAACTCACTGAGGCATGAAAATAAATCAGAACCACTGAGAGGTTAGGATATGTTATCTTCCCATGAATACTGCTCTCCTCCAATCCCCTGGTTTTGCTTTGATAATAAACCTCCGCTGCATACAGATAGACAGCAAGACTCTCTGGGAAATCCTCAAGAAATGCCGTCCATATGTTTTTGAGTCATTTACACTGAACCCATCATAATATTGTTCTTTGAAGATCCATTTACATTTGTTCTAAAGGCTTATTTTAAAGCTTATGCAAATAAACTAGATTAAGGTTGCATTCTGGAAGCTGAAGTTGGAAAATGGGAAGTTCAATTTAAAGCTTGGTGTAAATAGAGTTTCACATGTGTTCTAAATCGCTCTCCCTTCTTAGCCAAGTGTCCTCCATTCAACCCCCTGATACCCTCAGACCCACAGAGATTCTCTACCAGCGAAACACTAATGGATGGCAGTTAGGGTAATGGAAAGAGCAATGAAATTGGAGTCTAATCTCTCCCTCTCAACTAGCCGTATGGCATTAGATGGCACTTCATTTTCCCAGGCATTAGTTTCTTTATTTGGGACCCACCCAGGACCTCAGAGTTTCCCAAATGTCAGCTAGAGTTCCCTAAGAAGCAGATTCTAGATGGCCCTGCCTAATAACTCATAATCCAAGAGTAAAACCCCAGAATCTGAGTTATCCACATGTTCCCCACCATCAGGATCTCTCTCTCTGCCTCCCAAAATTCGATGATTTATTCCTGAATACCCTTTTCAATTTTATTTCTCTACATGTATCCTAAACTCTACTAGGTGCTAAAAGTTCCCACTTTCCTAAAGCCCCATTTGTGGACTCTTGGATATCCGAGGACTCATGATGAATTTGTTGATGTCTTGTTTGATGAAAAGAAAATTCCTTCATCAACCTCAACACACTAGGATGAGTTGCTGCAATGCGGAGCTCAGCATCTGGCTTCTTGTGAATTGCAGAACCCCTGGAAGGGTCATTGTGCTTGCCCCATGGAAGCTAACAGATGAATCGGAACAGACACAAAAACATTAAGGAAAAGAATGTAAAGACCATAAAGATATATTGTAAAAATTAAATGCATATTAACATTTCAATGCATGCCTAGGTAATAGGTCAGTATCATTGTTAAGGATTTGACTTAGAACTTGGATGTGTTTTCCAAAGAGCTGGGAAATGTAGAAATGTGGAGGAGAAGGTACTGCTCAAACAAAGAAACTATGAAAGAGACAAGAGACCTATGCACAGGAGAGGATGCTCCATCTCTGACCTGAGTTGCCTCTTCCTACTGTTAAGAAGAAGAGTTGACCTGCATTATGTAAACTTGGAGATAGTTTTCTAATCAAATCCTGTGAAAATGAGCATCTTGTGGTGGAAACTCTTCCTTGGCCTGCCACTTTTCCAAGTGTGTTAGTCAGATTTTGGTCACTGTGTTCAAAGTATCTGATAGGAAGAACATAGAGAAGGAAAAGTTTGATTGGGACTCATGATTTCAGAGGTCTCAGTCCATGGTTGGCTGACTCCATTATTCTGGCCTAAGATGAGACAGAACATCATGGCGGAAGGACATGGTAAAGGAAAGCAGCTCAGTTCATGGCAGACAATAAACAGAGAGAGACAGACAGACAGACAGACAGAAAGAGAGAAAGGAGTCAGGGACCAGAGCACATCCTCCCTGTGACCTACTTCCTCCAACCATGCTCCTCCTTCCTACAGTCACCAACCAGTAGTCCATCCAGATTACAAATGCATGAAATGAATTAATCTGCTGATTAGGTTACAGCTCCCATAACCTAATCATTTCACCTCTGAACATTCCTGCATTAAACACATGAGCTTTCTGGGAACACTTCATACCCAAACCATAACAGTCTCACCCAAGCACTATCTGATGCTATTTCCAAGAGCCTTGTCACTTGTTGTACCTTGGGGGAATTCATGGAACAATGTACATCTTCTGCTTGGTGAGTCTTCTTTTTCCAAGAAGCATGACCTCATTTTAATGCAAATCTAGCCACAGTTACCTTCCCTGCTTCCGACAAGAACAGGACATATCAGAACCTAGCTATACAAAACTAAAAATTTATCTGTGTCTTTCAATCCATTTTGCTCCAAGCTCCTAGCCCCTGCCCTTGTCCTTTACTCCATCAAGACACCAGGCACTTTCCTACCAGCTTCTCCTTCACAGCCTCAGTCAAGAGAAGGAAATCTTGCCTTGTTAGTTTTCCCTCCAAAGATAAAAGAGAATGTTGGGAGAGAGCAAAGCTTTACCCATAGTGAAAAATCACAAATAGAAGCAACATGCTTCCTGGGTAGCCCCCTGTGAGTAGGGGGCTTTCATGTCACCCCCAAGTGAGAGCACAGAGTAGGCACTGAAGGCTGAAGTGGCATACAGAGGGACTTTTCTCTAGACAAATTCCAGACCACTGCTGCAGCACCAAAAGAGAATGAATACCATCTCCACCGAATTTAGCAATAGAGCACTTTAATTTCTTTCAACCCTATTTATAAAGCCATATTTTGCACTGTTGCTTCAATTCAGCCCCATCTGCATTTTCTTCCATTAATCACAGTAGAACTCCCCACTGTAGCCTTCATTACCTGCTCAAAATGAATGTGGAGAGAAAACATAATTAGATGCCACTTTAAAAAAATAATATCTTAAAAATAGAGCAATGACTTAAATAAAAAGGGAGGGAAGGGGGAAACACACACACACAATTTGAACTAATGGGCCAAATTATCTCAGGTAAAGCTGCATTTTCAATCAGCATTGGCTTGCTTGTTTTCTCTGCCCCCTATCCCCCACCCATCTAGTGAATCACGACAAATCTAGAGTTCAGCCGGATGGATGATTAGATTTCCTCGTCTCTGCTGGAACAATGAAATATTTCTATAATATTAAACCCGTCAAACTGATCAAAGTGCAGTGTCAAAATTCTAAGTGCTCCTTCTTGTCCAATCCCCTCAGCTCTGGAAAAACGGAGCACATTTTATTTGCTGGCCCAAAACTCCCCAAGGTTTTTAAAATCTGATGCACGTTACCTGAATCTCAGCGTGGTTGCATTTCTGCTATAGGTATCTGCATCGATGTGGGCGGCAGGAGTATTCATTGTGAGTGGCTTGCCTGCCAAGCACCCACACACTCACAGCTTTTCATCTCGTTGCTTCTCCTCACCCCTGCCCGAAACACAGATGTTGTTAATATGCTATCAAACAAAGCAGCCGAGCCAGGTGAGAAGCGGGAAGAGGAGGAACAGGGACCAGTCAGCGTGCTCCACCAACACAGGGACAAACACACTCGATACAACTCTAGAGCTGTTCGATTTACCCAAAGTCTAAATGTCGCAGAGCCTCAGTTTCTCTGACTGTAAAATAAGAGTAATTCACAAATTCCTGCCCGGCCTACCACACAGGTTATCTAGATGAAGAGAAAGCAATTTATGGAGAAGCCCCAGGACCTACCAAAATGAGGTCAAATGCATGTCATTATCCATTTCATCTAATGTAGTGTGGGGCAGTCATACACAGAAGTTCCACATTTCACAAGGAGGCTACTCGTGTTTCAAATGAAAACAGTGGAAAAGTTGTTTGGGAGCCAGCCCAGTCTGAATTTCATTGAACTTACATTCTGCCATTTTCTAGCTACATAGCCTCAAACACACTACTTGGTGTTTGTGAATCCTGATTTTCATTTGTACAATAGAGATAATATGTTGCAATGTTATGAGAATTCAATGAAATACATATTTGAACACCTGGACAGAGTAGGCACTTAATAAATAACGACTTAATCATCAAAGGCACTTTGTTTACAACATTGTCTGGAAGAAAAGGAAGCAAAAGACCCCTCAGCCTAGAAGGAGGCTGACACCAATCTGGCCTGGGGATGGGGTAAGAGTCTGTTTCTTTTCTTTCTTCATAAACCTCTTTTCAGTTAATGGCTTCACTAATGCACCCATGAACCTCTCTCTGTGCTTTGGCTTTCTGTTCCTAAGACCTGCTAGTGCTGAAATAGGGACGGACATTTCTGGGAAAGGAAAAGGAGAAAAGGAGCCAAAAATGGGGTGGCTGTGTTGACTTCATTTCTTAACAAATGAGAAACAAGCTCCAGATTTACAGATTAAGTGCTATTAATTACCACCCAGCAAATATTGAACCACAATGTTGCACTCTTAGGAAAAGAAAAAGTTGGAAACTCAGCCTGAATATTAAAGGACTACATTAGTTCTCTATGTAGATTCCGCATCAGATACTGTCCTTTGACACTAAGCATCCCAGTAAGGAACAGCCAGGGCACAGCAAATGGGACCCAGCAGGGGATCCTCCATGAAGCCCACTTGCATCTGCAGCCCATGTCTGGGAGCCTGGAGATAATGAGAGCCAGATAAGGCAGGGTGGAATGGAAGTGGGGCTAAAGGGGGGCTGCTGGAGGCTACTGTCCTATAAGTGAAAGATACCTTGGGTTTTGTTCCTGAGCGAAGCTGCACGTTTTGCATGCTTCAATACATAGAAAGATTTAGGAATATAGTCAGCTCTTGATATCTATGAGAGATTAGTACTAGGACCCTCTGCAAATACATAAAGGTACAGATACTCAAGTCCCTTATATAAATGGCATAGTATTTAAATAAGACCCTGTGCACATCCTCCTGTATACTTTAAAGCATTCCTAGGTTCTCTATAATACCCAATACAATGTAAACACTATATAGTAGCTGTCATAGTATAGTATTTAAGGAATAATAACAAGAAAAAATTTGCGTATGTTCATACAGAGACAATCTTCTTTTTCAAATATGTTTTGATCTGCAGTTGCTTGAATCCATGGATGTGGAGCCTACAGATATGGAGGGCCAAGTGTGCTACATATTTAAAGTTTCCTACCTTAAACAACATTTTGTGTACAGAAGCTTCCTCTACCTCCCCTCACTCAAAAATATCCTCCCACACAGGAGGGTTCTAAGGTAGGGAGGAAACTAGAATGTATCCACGAGTTCTATCTGTTGGCAGCAGGCCATGTAACCCTCCCCACCTGGTGTTATTGTCAGCATGGCACCAGCAAGGAAATTGAGACCCAAAGCCTGCCATCCAGATTCTACCTGTGACCCAGAAGGCTCTGTTCTTTCCCCTCCAGCCCTGCCCTAGATCCCCAGGACTGTGGAGGCTGCCCCCAGAGTCATGCGGGTGCTGGGGTGATGAGGGAGTAGGAGGGCTAGCCTCCCACTGTTTGCCCTCGGTGGCCAGGGCCCTCTCTGTCCTTTGGAGTTAGAAGCTCGCAGTTTACACTCTACTCTGAAGGTGAGTTCCTGCCCACCCCTTCCCTCAGGTCTGGGCCCCAGTCCAGTGTGCTGGCAGCCACCATTATCTGTAAGGCCCGCACCACCAGGAGGACACTCATTTTCCCCTTGGCGAGTTCACTACAGAATTGCGAAAGGGAGAAAATTGGGAAACTTAATATTTGAGAAATTTTAGCCTCCCCTCCCTACCCCCATGAAATCTATATCAGGATGCCACTCCTGAGGATAATGTTTTCTGATGTAACAAATTTTGCTGGCTCCCAGGCTGAATAGGTCCTGCCTCTCTACCCTGCTTGCTGAGAGCCAGGCGAGAACACACCCTTTGAATTCTCTCTCCTGATAGCTTCTTTCTCCTAGTAGCAGCATAGGGTGCTGGAAATACTGAGGGTAGAGGGAGCAGAGTACAGTGATCCCCAACAGCTTCCATCCTAAGGAAATAACCATGAGCTTTAAACCTACCATGCTTTAGTTTTCTCCTCTGTAAAATAAGGTGATAAGTCCAGACCAAGATTTCTCAACCTTAGCACTATTAATATTAGTTTGGGGACTGTCCTGTGTATCGTATGATGTTTAGCAGCATCCCTAGCCTCTTCCTACAAGATGCTAATAGCAGGTGCTTCCCATTCCTCCCAACTGTCACAATCAAAATATCTTCTGACATTGTCACATGACCCCAAGAAGGCAAATTGCACCCACTTGAGGTCCCTGAAGATCCTCCCGGCTCTTGAGTTCTGTGGCTGGAAAGTGGCATGTGTGCTCAAAACACCTTAGGTCAAGATGTCACATGTATATCAATGTCACTCAAATCTCAATTTCAGTATTTACATTTTAACTTTTTATAATTGGTCAAATTACTTCACCTTTCTGAGCCTCAGTTTGCTTATCTGCAAAATGGAGATTATACAGCCTATTTTGTAGGGTTGATTGGAGAATTCAATGAGGAAATGTGTGTAAAACTTCTGGCACATGGTATATTGTCCCATATATGGTGCTCTTAATGCTATCACTAGGATTGAAAGTAAACCAGACCATCTGCTCTCTCTAGACAATCTCTCTTGAGACCAAATGCACATAAATGCAAGGAGCCAGCAGCAATAGCTATGCAAAGAAAGAAAACAATAAATGTATGAAACATCTACTTTGTGCTGGGTGCTGTGCTGGGCAGTTTCACAAAAATTCTCAAGCTAAATCAGGGCTGGTTGAGGACTGATAATTGCAGCCATAACTGATGGACAAATTCAAAACCTTGCCAGACTGCCAAGGCCAAGTTCAGAATCTGCAAATACTTGGGTATTTATTTTGCACCTTCAGTATCAGGAATTGTTCCCCTAATTTTTGCCATTAAATTAAGACAATCTATTCATCTGTTACCTGTGATAAATGACATCTATCAGAAGTGGGGCAGCAGGAAAGTAATTTTTAGCTAGATTTGTTCCCTTGCAATGAGTTCATGTCTTCTCTTTGGTTGGATTCTGCCTAAAGGGCAATTGACTTCAGTTCATACAGAAAGAGACAAGGAAATAATATCTGTCCTTAAACCTGAGTTACAGGTTTCGATTTCCGCTTCTGTCTTTTTCCATTTTCTGGGGTCTGACAGCTGCCTGTTACCTCCAAAACTACCTTCCTGCAATAAGCCCCAATTCCCCAATGCACATTACTTAGATCACATCTCTGCTCTGGCCTGCCCCAAGAGAGGTTTTATTCTTCACTGAAGGTATTGATCTGTCGCCAGTTACAGGCCTAGTTTCTATATTAAGTGTCAACAAAGAGTAGGTGGAAGGAGGCTGGAAAAGGGGCCAGCGCATACTTTCTTTTTTTCTTCCTGGTTGGCCATCCCTCAGGACTCTTACTCTGGGTTCTCAGGGATACTTACCAGGGTTTGGCCTTCTCCTTGTCTTTGCCATTATTTCCCCTCCTGCTCAGCAACATTCAGACACAGCAAAAGTTATGGCTACCATTTTTTTTAAAATATTTTATCTCAGATAGCCTTCACAGGAATACCTTGTACAGCTTTTACAGAGAGGATCACCAAAGACCACACCTAGCAATGGGTGGAACTGTTTGCAAACCCCTTCTAGCTCCACATTCCAGTGTGTGTATTCATCGGTCCTGCAGGAGCCAACATGATCCTGTAGGGAAATCTTTTTTTTGCAAGGATAATAAATGTCCCATTAGGAGCCTCTCTGCTGCAGACACTATAATTACTACAGGCAATGCACATTGGCCCTGCCCTTGTCCAGAGCCAGACAGAAGTAGACGAGAAGAGGATGCCACTCCAGCCACAGACACCGTCCTGCCTCAGTTAACATTGTCCAGCCCAGCCACCCTTTCTCTTCCACCTGGTGAACTCCTTCCTATTCATCATCCAAAAATCAATTCAAAAATTGCCTCTCCATTGCAAAGTTCTCTCACTTGCCCATTCGTCTCTGCTGCTGTGTATCATTAGCACTTTGACACATCTCTGCTATTGCATATATTATCTGACTTATCACTTTTCATAATTCCCAGCACACAGTCCCAAAAATATCTTAAATGAATGACTAGATTAATGAAAACATGGGGCAGGGGGGATCTCAAGGTAGATAATGAACACAATATTTAAAGCATTTATTTAGAAATGGTCTTAAGAACTTACTATAGATCCTGAAACAAGAACTTTTTTCTTTCTTTTTTTCCATGAAAGGTTGGGAATTCAGGGAAAGAGACAGACCAGAGCCCATTTTCTTCACACCTACTCATTGATTTTCTTTAGTGCAGTGCTTCTCAAACTCCAGTGGCCAGAGAAATCAGGCGTGGCTTAGGTTCAAATTCGGATGCTGACTCAGCAGTTCCAGGGTGGGGCTCCCAGGCAACACCCATGCTGCCTGGGCCACACTTTGAGAAGCTGACTCTGATTTCTTCTGTGCTGCATCCTACCTCATCTGAAGTCACTGGCCTGTCACTCTGAGCAGGGCTAGAACGCCCTGGCATCCCTGTGCCAGCTTGGCAAAGCAGATGTCTGCTGGTTTATTTATTCCTTCCCATTATCACCGGGGGAAGAGAATCCGGAGACATGCCACATCTTGTTTACAGCAAGCGTCGGAAAAGTTAAAAGTGCAAGTTAAAAAAAAAAAAATGTATCAGCAGCCCCTTAGAATCACACATATCAGGGAAAAAAGGGCTAAGGGAAATTCATAAAATATTAAATGACACTGTGTCAAGACACAGATAGGGGCAGAACAGTAATTAAAGTAAACAGCACATCAAAACCCTGGCTAAAACCGTTATTTAAATTGAAAGTAAATGCAGGAACTGATCATGTAGCCTTGTATAAATGTGTTTCCAAGAGCCTTTTAAGAATATTAATGATTATGGAACTATAATGGCTGAATATCAATGATTGTTTTTACAGGGAGTGACAGCTCAGAGGGAGAAGAAAAGAATCCAGATAGTTCCAAAGATGCAAACTGGTTTGATCTTCCCAGCACATTGCATCCCTTCAGGGGACAGAGGGAGGACTGGGGAAGATGATTAAGGTGTCCTGAGCTTAGGATGCAGCTTTCTTATAGTTCTAAGGGACGAGGGGCTATTCAGAGAAGGTGCCTTAGCCATGACTGTGTTCTTCCTCCTCATCTGACACTTACTGAGCTCCAACTGTGTTCATGGCCCTGTGCATCAGAGAGCCTACTGTATGCGTGGCTCCAGTGCGTTGTCACCATCTCTAAAAATACTTTCCCACCTCGCTTTAAAGCTTCTGAAAAGTTCTGCCCAAAGCCCAAAGTGAAACTGTAAAGTGCCATAACTGACTTTTCAACAAAGATATTAGAAATTACATATCAGAATTGTAAGGTTGTACTCTTCAGAGGCGAAATGCTCAAAATAGCTCAAGATAGCTTCAGAGCCTGGGGCTCATTTCTTCAATAGCCACAATGGGAGCCTGTCTTCCTCCTTTGACATTGTATTGAAAAGTCTTGCAGTATGTGTGAGTGCAATGGGTGGGTACCCTCTTTGGGGTCCAAAAAAGAAACACTGAAGCACTACTGTTTAATGTAGGGCCCACTCCTGCTGCCTTCTGGTATGCTTGGGTTTCTGGTGAGATAAGTGACTCCCATTCTTCCCTTTCCACTTTGTAGCTCTGTGAGGTCAGTTCTCAAGACTCACCTTGGGCAAAATCTTCATCCCAGCAACTAAAAGTTCACCTTCCTGCAAGTGTCTCTGTAACCTCTCCTCTCTGTGTCCTCCCAGATGGCACCAGCTCAGAGATTGTTCTAGTTCAGGGCTGGGCAGCCCAGGTCCATCTAGACCCAGAATTCCAAGGAAATATATTTATTCTCTCATTGTCTCTGTCTGGCACAGCCTTCCTGAAGCTGCCAGGTATATTGGATTGTCCATTGTTAGTAAAGTGTTTAGTCCTAACTTGTTAGGACTAAAACACAACCTCGTACAACTATCCAGAGAGCTCTAGATATCAGAGCACAAACCCGACTAACCATAAAGCATCGCTTTGCTTTCCTTTGTAGGATCCTGTTTTCTCAGGGGCACTTCATGAGGAGGGGTAGATATTTCAGGGACAGGTTTTGGGCTCTCATGCATTCATACATTTATTAAATATTACATTTTTATAAACTATGGAATTGTTGCATTGCTAATAATTTCCTACTAATTTCTCTATTATTCTAGCCATTAAGTATAATCCCTCTTCTCAAATCTCAGGCTCAGTTTGCCACTCCAGTAGGAATCCTTAGTTTCCTAATGGAACAGATTGTAAAGGCCCAAGGCAAGGCGGCAAGGAGGGGAGATTAATGAGGCTCCCCACCCCTGTTGCTGGCTTTCACTGGGAACCATCAGAGCAGCTCCCGAGGCCCCTCCCTTCCTTCCTTGGGTGATTTTATTCACCTTCTGGCAGCTCCCTCTCCTCACGGCTGGGGGCAGTCCTCAGTTGCTTCCTCAAAGAGTTGCCTGCATTAAAGTAGCTACTGTTTCCAGCTTCTTTCTTCCACAGTCCTTTTTGTTCTTTGCTTTTGATCCAGCATGTGCTGGGGGGCCGTGCTCTTGTCTTTTAGTTTGCGAATAAATGGAAGCACTTAGAGAGGCAGCAACAGCCACGCATGGCTAGTTTCTTGTTCTCCTCCAACAGGGAGCCTAGATGGGGAAGTAGCTCAGGACCCTGAGCCTGGCCTCCATGGAGCCCTCAGGGCTGGTGTGGAGGGCACAGCTTGAAAGTCCAAAGACTTAGCTAAATCCCCATCCTGGTCCTTCCAGCAGCCAAGAGTGCCAACTTTGCCAAAGCCCTCTCTCTCTCTCTCTCTATCTATTCTTTTACCAGGCATTGGGTCTGGTCTGCAAAGATAAATAAAATCACATCTGTGACCTCAAGAAGATGGCAAAAATGTGACAGGAAGATACGGGAAGATGTACAAGTTGTACTGTAAGCACAGCAAAGGGAAGGCTTTGCACAGGAGGTAACTGAGTCTTGAAGGATTGAATAAGCTCTAGCCAGATGCTACCCATGAATGTAGTGGGGTGAACATTGGGATAGCATGATTTCTGACGTGGGAATAAGACCTAAAGGAATGGAAGAGCATGATTCAATCAGAGAACAGCAAATCATCTGGTCTTGCAGGAGCATGGAGTTGGGGGAGAAATGCAGGTGGGGCTGGAGAAAGGCAGAGGTTTCACCTGGGAACTTTGCAAACTATGCTGAGAAGTACACTGATTTGTTTGTAAGGTAAGAATTCTCTTAGGAGGCAATGAAGAGAGTGGCTTGCAGGGAAACCTGATGTCTGAGAGACCTTGGGAAAATATTGCATATCATAAGCCAGAGTTTCTTTATCTCAGCACTCACGACACTTTGGACTCTGATTCATTGTGGAGGGGCCTCTCCTGTGCATTGTGTGATGTTCCTCCGCATCCCTGGCCTCCACTCACTTGATGCCAGCAGCAAAGACTCTGCTGTGACAATCAAAAATGTCTCTGGACATTGCCAAATATTCCCTAGGGGCAAAATCACTCCTGGTTGAAATCACTGATCTAAGCAAATCTAGGAAGCCTGGAGTGAGCACAGAGATGCACAGGTGAGGACAGATTAAAGACACGCTTAGGAATCAGGCTGAGAGGAACTCGAGACTAGCCGATAGGTGGGTGGGAAAGGGCAGCAGTCAGAACACTCCTGACTCCTAGTGAACATCTAAGGAATGTTGATGGTGCATGGATGCAGGAAGATGGGATAGACCAGACTCAGAAGAGAAGGAGGTTCATAGATTATACAGTCCCAGAGGAAGGGTCTACAGTTCCCACACAGAGAGATCCAGTAAGCAGTGGGCTCCACAGGCCTGTGGGTCCAAGCCAAGGGCTGGGTAGAGACATAGATGGAAAAGTCTCTGGGAACCAAGGGCCCGCCCTCAGGAAGGCTGTTCTGAATGGGAAGAAGGCTGAGGATAGAACCAGGACATCAACATTTCAGATGCTGGGGAAAAGAAGCAGGGTCTGAACAGGTACCTGATGGGGAATGAAAATCAGGAGGGTGTCCCTGAAAGAAGACAAGGAAAGACAGTTTCCAGAAGAATCAAGTCAAGTGTTGCATAAATGTCAAGGAAAGGAAGGGCAGGAAATTTGTCTGTGGCATTCCTGAAGGGCTGGTTTGGAGGCAGCCAAGCTTAGAAATCTGAAATATTTGGAAATGGCCAAAAACACTGGACAAACGTGCCATGCTGAAGTGATTATTAGTGATGGCTAATGATTACTAAGTCTCCCTCCCTTGAGCTTCTGACCACAGTGACCTTCCGAGCTCATAAAATAGCAAGAGTGTGCTCTGAGATCTGAGCTGCTGGCATTTCCCCTGCCCCAGGGAGTGAGTGCCCTGAACCTCACAAATGTCCACACAGGACTCCCAGGTTCACACCCACCTATAGGCTCCTGTGACCCTTTCCTATGCACTGGAACTCACTCCTGTGTCACCTGTCAGCTTCATTGTTTACAGGGGAACCACCTGGCATATTAAGGCTCATCATTCCCCCTACAGCGGAGGAGACTGAACCTGTTGACCCACT